CCAGCCCAGGCAGGAAAGTCCATGAGACTCTTACCTCCAATTAACCACCAGAAAACCAGAAGTGACACTGTGGCTCAAGTGGTAGAGTTGAAGAGCTGAGGGACAGTACCCAGGCCCAGAATTCAAGCCCCATGACCGATGGGGAAAAAAAAAAAAAACAATTTGATGCCAATCCCAGGCAGAAAAATCTATAAGACTCTTATCTCCAATTAACCAGCAAAAAGCTGGAGTTAGAGGTGTGGCTCAAGTGGTAGAGAGCTAGCCATGAGGAAAAGTGAGAGTGGGAAGCCCTGAGTTCAAGCCTCAGTGATAGCACCTAAAAGCAAACAAAAACATAGTTCAGTGGTATTCACCAGACATTATACAACTTGTAGATGGAGGGATGGGAGGGAAAAACTGGGAGAAAACGAGGGAGGGAAGGAATGACATTGTCCAAAAACAAATGTACCCTTTGTCTGACCTATATACCTGTAACCCCTCAGTACATCACCTATTTTATAATAACAATAAAAAACAAAAACAAAAACCACACACACAACAAAAGCACTTAGGAGGCTGAGGCAAGAGGAACACAAATTTAAGGCTAGCTTGAGCTACCTAGTGGGATTCTGCCTGGAAAACAGCAAACAAACCGGGTGCTGGTGGCTCATGCCTAACACCCTAGCTACTCAGGAGCCTGGAGCATCAAGGAATGAAAAAAAAAAAACCTGTCCAGGTGGGAAAGTCCGTGAGCTGCTTTTTTTTTTTTTTTTTTTGGTCGGTCGTAGGGCTTGAACTCTGGGCCTGGGCGCTGTCCCTCAGCTCTTCAGCTCAAGGCGAGCGCTCTACCACTTGAGCTACAGCGCCACTTCCAGCTTTTTTCTTTTTGCTTATGTGGTGCTGAGGAATCGAACCCAGGGCCTCAGGCATGCAAGGCAAGCATTCTACCACTGAGCCACCTTCCCAGCCCTGTTGTTGTTTGTTTTTGTTTTGGGGTTTTGTTTGTTTGTGTGGAACAGGGTCTTGCTACCTAACCCAGGCTGACCTGGAACTCACCGTGTGTTCCTTGCTGGCCTGGAACTCGCAGTCTTTCAGCTATGGCTTCTGAAGTGCTGATAAAAATTGTTAATTGTGTTTAACATGATTGACTTCACAATGTGGCATATTTTTTATGCCATTACACGATATTAGAGCTAGGCATGGTGGTGTACACTTGTAATCCTAGTACTTGGGAGGTGAAGCAGGATTATGTGTTTGAGGCCAGCTTGCGCTGCCTAGCAACACCTATTTTCAAAAAACAAGCCTGGGCTGGGAATGTGGCTTAGTGGTAGAGTATTTGCCTAGCATGCATGAAGCCCTGGGTTCGATTCCTCATTACCACATACACAGAAAAAGTTGGAAGTTGCACTGTGGCTCAAGTGGTAGAGTGCTATCCTTGAGCAAAAGTAACTCAGGGATGGTGCCCAGGCCCTGAGTTCAAGCCCCAGGTCTGGCAAAAAAACACACACACACACAAATAAATAAACAAAAAACAACAAGAAGGAGCAAGGGCAACATTGTCCAAAAATAAATGTATTCTTTACCTGACTTATGTCACTCTAATCCCTATGTAATCACCTTTATAATAACACTAAAAAAAACAAACAAACAAGAAACAAGAAAGCAAGAAGGAAGAAAGGAAGGGAGGAAGGAAGGGAGGGGGAAAGGAAAAAGGAGGGAGGGAAGAAGGTCAAAGAGGGAGGAGGGGAAAAGGCAGGGAGAGAGGAAAAGAAGAAAGGAAGGAGAGAGGAAAGGGAGGGGAGGAGTAGAGGAGGAAAGCAAGGAAGGAAAAAGAAAGGCGGAAAGGGAGGGAGAGAAGGAAAGAAGAAAAGGAAGGAAGGAAACGAGGAAAGAAGGAGGAAAGGGAAAACAAAACATCAGAAAAGTCCCTAGGCTTTACTAGACTTTGCCAGACAGGTGCATACAACAAGTTTGATCATAGTTCCAGCAGACATGAGCTCTAATGACTGCAGCATCTTCAGGAAGTCTCCCAGGGGACAGGATGGGTCCTTTAGGTGTGGGTGAGGATGGGCTGGGGCAGGGGGAGCAGAAGGAAAGTAGCAGCAGCAGCAGCAGCAGCAGGGGAGCCCCTTGGAGGCCCTGATCACTCAGGAGATGTTAGGGAGGCCCTCGCTGGCAGGTGGGGGCTTCTCACTGTGCATAAGCATCTGAGATCTGTCTCTCTCCTCCCCCCACCCTCAGCTTGCTCTTCCAGCAGTTTCCCCAGCCCCCCTCCTCCCCGCCCCCCAATCCCAGCAGACCACTGAGAAACCCACTGACCCCAGCACAGCTGCGCCTGGGAACACACAGATCCTCAGACAATCGGCCACTTGTCCAGCAGATGGGCACAGGCATGGGGCTGGTTGGGAGGTGGGCGGGGAGGGAGGAGGGTGAGGCGGGTGAAGAGGGTGCCAAGGGGGAAGGAGGAATGGGTATTCCTGGAATTTCTGCCTCCTGAGCCAGGCAGTAAACAGAACCTGAGCACACAGGACTTTGTCCTAGGACAAGCAACAACAGTCCAGGGCTGGGGCTGGGGGCTGGGGGGGGGAGGGGCTGAGGATGGGGGTTGGGGGGGGCGGCACTCACCTGCCAGGAGCTGCTCCCTGTAGAAGCTCTAAGTGAAGGAGGTGGTAGAGAGAAAAGGGCCCAGGATCACCCTGGCCCTGCCCGGCCCAGAAAGTCCCGCCTGGAGCCGCCAGCCTCCTCATGCCACAGCGCCATGAACCCTGAAGGATGACATCCAGTAGTGCCCCCCCACGGTTATCAGCACAGCCCCCCAAAAGAGACGAGGCCAACTAGAAGGCCACTCTGAAAGAAGCTGGCCAAAACTTGAACTTGAACCAAATCAGCTCTGTTTGCTTAGTACATAATGAACGTAAGAACCACCCCCCCTAAAAAAAAAAAACCTGGCTTCTTTAACAAATAAATACCGAGGCGTGGAAGAGGAGGGGAGAAGGAAGATGGCAGAATGGTAGTGTACAATCTCTTGTTCTGCAGACTGTAATCTACAGATGCAAGATCACGAGATTAAGAGAGCAATTGCATGTATGCATACAACGATATGTATGTACACATATTTGCCAGTATATACGTATATATCGATTGCAATGAACAGCAGTGCATCGTATAAAGAGTACTGGAAGATGGGTGCGCGTATGGAAATGGCACAGTGAAACCATTCTGTGTACCTTGGTACACGTGGTAATAATAACCTCCAAAGTATGAATCATATAATTCTTCAATGTCCCAAATTATAGTAGTTAATGTATAATAAGCAAGATCAGTAACACTGAGAGTAAGTTGTAGATTTTTCTCACCATAAAGGATAAGTAAATGAGCTATGCATATGTTAATTAGCCTGATTTAGTCTTTCCACAGTGCAAACATATTTCAAAAAGGCATATCGGATGCTACAAATACGTATAATTTTTGTCAATTAAAAAAACTAAAATGCTAAAAAATTTTTTTAGTTAAACAAAGAAATAACTTAAAGGTGATAAGGAACCAGACTCTGGTGGCTCAGGCCTGTCATCCTTGCTACTCAGGAGGCTGAGATCTGAGGATTGCAGTTCAAAGCCATCCTGGGCAGGAAAGTCCATGAGACTCTTATCTCCAAATAACCACCAAAAAAAAAAAAAGCAGGAAGTAGAGCTGCCTAGAGCAAAAAAAGCCAAGTGAGAGCTTAAGGTCCTGAGTTCAAGTCCCTGTACTGGTACACATGCACACACACACACACACACACACACACACACACACACACACACACACACACACCTCTAAAACAGAATCCAGCAGAGAATTTCTCAATAAACCAGATTGCTAGCTAGTATTCTGAGTGACAGACATATCCTAGGTGCTCAATCAATATCTGTTGACAGGCTGGGGTCTGGGCTAGAAACGGGGCTCAGACCCCAAAGGACAGCAGGAAGGAGCTGAGGGCTGGGTGAAAGAGGAGAGGAAGGCACTTCAGTCAGCAGAAAGTAAGTAGCAGCATTACTTCAGAGGGACGACAATGTAGGGCACAATGCAAAGGCCTCTTAGCTAGATAAGATTGCAAAGTAGGGAATGAAGCAGACAGAGTGCAGAATCGGTGTGTGGGTGGGGGAAAGGAGAAGGTCAACCAAGGACTCTTTATTTAAGACAAGCTCTTTCTCTCTAGCCCCTACTGGCCTCAAATTCAGATCCTTCTGCCTCAGCCTCCACAGTACTGAGATTACAGATGTACACACCCATACAAGACTCTAGGGGGGAGGGGGAGGAACAGGCTTAGGGGCAAGGAGGGACAAAAGATCAAGAATTCAGGAATCTGAAAAAGACATATTTGGGGGTTGGGCACCTGGGTGGGGCTTGCTGGCTTCGGCCCCCGCCTGGAAAATCAAGCTGTTTGCAGCCAGGAGCTCCTGGAGAGGAGGAGTATTGCAGCAAAGATGTAAACTGATGATACAGGAACTGCGGCGGTAGCCAGAACTAATCCCCTGGATGGGAAGACTGACACCCCAACAGCCATCAAGTACGCCCACTGAGTCAGACCCCAAGCTGCCCTTGAAGAAAAGGAAACACTGGGCTGGAATGGCTTGTTTCCCTGCAGCCCAGAGTCCCTGGCTTGGGCTGAGTTGTCTTTTGGTGCCTGCTCAGGCTGGACCCGTTTCTTATTCCAGGTGTGTCCTTCCCAAATCTGAATGTGAGTCACTGGGGGGAAGAGGATTCGATTAGCAGACACTCAGCCAGACTGCAGCTGTGCCCCAAAGCAGGGTGTGGGGGCTGAGCAAAGCTTTCCCCTTGGGCAGACCCGATGGCCCAGCACCCTCTTATCCTTCCTGCAGACCGCTGCCCCCACCCCCACCCCCTTCCCCCTCTGGAGCTTAGGGTGGGTGCACGGCCGCCACAAGTTTCAGATTTCAAAACTCCCTTTCATGGTACCTTACCTATGGCAGAGTCTGAGAATGGAGCTCAGGATTGCTTTCGCAGCTACCTAGTCAGGGCTAGGCCAGGGCAGGGCTCTTGGAGAAAGGGGTTGCCGTGGGGGGAATGATGCAGAGGTGGGATGCTCCTTGGAGGCTCTGGGAATGGGGTACAGAGGGGCACAGCATGGCGGGTTCTATGTGAGGGGGCCGTCCTGAAGGACAGCAGATAGTGACAGATAGTGAGGGCGCCCCGGCGGGCAGATTCTGGGAGAAGCTTCAGGATGCCATAGGTAGGTTTGGTCACTCCCCGACCCTATGAGAAGTGTCTGGTAGCCCAGAGCCTTCCGTTCACTTCTGCGTCCCCAGGGGGTCCTGTGGGACCCCTGGGGGTCACGTGGGACACACGCTCCCTGGAGGTAAGACACACCCATCCGTTGCTCAGGGAGGAAAGTCCTGGGAGACCGGACACGTGCAGGGGATCTGTTTTCCCAAAGCAAAGAACCTCAGGCTGAGTAATTAGTAGAGAGGAGAGCTTTTCCTTAGCTCACCCTTCCAAGACTGAAAGTCCAAGGTCCGGCCCCTCCCTGGATAGCCCGGTCACCACGTGGCAGGGGACACCGCAGGACACCGCGGATGAGGCTCTGTGGATGAGTGTGTGTGTGTGTGTGTGTGTGTCTGTGTCTGTGTATAAAACTAAGGACAGCATTAACCCCTTCCAAAGGGCAGAACCCACAATGACCTAACCAGCACCCCCAGGCTTTACCCCTGTTTCTCCACTCCTTCCCTCCCTCCCTGCCTCCCTCCCTTCCTTCCTTCCATCCTTTCTTTCTTCCTTCTTCCTTTCCTCCCTCAGTCTCTCCCTCCCTCCCTCCTTCCTTCCCTCTCTCCTTCCAGCCTTTCTTCCCTTTCTCTCTTTTCTGGAACAGTACTGGAATTTGAACTCAGGGCCTAATGCTGGCTAGGCAAGGGCTCAACCACTTGAACTACACCCTAGCCTGAGGCACTGCCTCTGGAAGATTCCACCACCCATTTATGAAGATTGTGGAAGGAATCTCACTGAAAGCTGAGGAACAATTGAGGGGGTAGGTTGTTCTGATTAAAATATAATCTATGGCTGGGCACCAGTGGCTCGTGCCCATAATCATAGCTACTAATAAGGCTGATATCTGAGGATCATGGTTCAAAGCCAGCCTGGGGAAGGAAATTCTGAGACTCTTATCTCCAATTAACCACCAAAAAAAAAAAAAAAACGGAAGTGGCACTGTGACTCAAGTGTTAGAGTGCTAGCCTTGAGCAAAAGCAGCTCAGAGACAGTGCCCAGGCCCTGGGTTCAAGCCCCAGGCCAGGCAAAAAAAAAAAAAAAAAGAATGACAGGAAGGTAAAACAGGCCACTGGTGGGGTAGAGGGGCTCAGGGGAAGCAGGGAAGGTAGAGAGGGCCAGTGGGGTGACTATGGCAGAAATACTAATTATGCATAGATAAAAACAGACCAATGAGAAGCTGGGCTGGGGCTCAAGTGGTAGAGCACCTAGCAAACTTGAGGCTCTGAGTTCAAACCCTAGCACCATCCCCAAAAAATAAAAAAGAATCATAAAACCTGTTGACATTGTATTAGGAAGGATGGGGGTAGCCGGGTGTCAGTGGCTTACACCTGTAACCCTAGCTACTCAGGAGGCTGAGGTCAAAGGATCCAGGTTCAAAGCCAGCCTGAGCAGGAGCATCCGTGAGACTCCTATCTCCAATAACCACCAGGTAGAGCGCTCACCTTGAGCTGAAGAGCTCAGGGACAGCGCCCAGGCCCAGAGTTCAAGTCCTATAACTGACAAAAAACAAAAAAAGAAGGGTGGAGTGGGAAGAGGAGGTAGGAGAGAGATAGAGGGGGTGAAGTTGATCGAGTACATTGTATCCAAGTATAGATGTTGCAGTGAGACTCTCTCTCTCTCTCTTTCTCTCTCTCTATACATATATATATACATACACACATACATATATATGTTAATAAATGAAACTTTTTTTTTTTTTTTTTTTGCTGGTCCTGGGGCTTGAACTCAGGGCCTGGGAACTGTCCCTGAGCTTCTTTTGCTCAAGGCAAGTGCTCTATCACTTGAGTCACAGCACCACTTCCAGCTTTTTTGAGTAGTTTATTGCAGATAAGAGTCTCGCAGAGGGGCTGGGAAGGTGGCTCAGTGGTAGAGCGCTTACC